GCAGGAGGGTGGGACTAGATGACCCACGGCGGTCCCTTCCAACCCCTACTATTCTGTGATTCTGTGATTCTGCATCTAATGCTGCTATTTAAATATGTGCGATGCTTCCAAATGTTATGACCCATTAAAAGTGAAGCGAGGATTCAATCAGCTGCCCCAGATTAGTTTTGCTAATATTGTTGACGTGAAACGCGTAACAATAAACACATTACTAAATGAAACAGATTGTAATCTTGCGTTAAATGAAGGTATTATGAGCCAGGCTTCTTCCCTTTCGTTAAAATGCAATCAAATGCTTTTCAAATTTATCTGCCAGAGAAAACACATTGAAGACATTTAATTAATGATGATAAAATTTTCTTCTTTCAATAATTTAAAGCAATGTTGAAACAATATAATATTACACCATAATTCATTCAGGATAGCTTAGGTCAACAATATTAAATAGAATCCACGACGGAAAGGGATTAAAGAGCTCAAATATAAAAGAAGCCTCATTATACCAAGCCCTTAATGTTAACCTAGAACTTGAAACTGCGTTGTGAGAGCACAGAAAGGGGAAAGAAGAGTAACTTCTTGCAGACATTACACAGTAAATGCTAAGCGGTGTTTTGAATAACTGGGAGTTCTGTTTCCTTCAAAGGAGCAGTACTCCAGTCGTTGGCCCTTTCCAGGACTTGGTAGCTCTCAAGAAGATACTTGAAATAAATTTCTCATTGAGTCTGAAAAACACATTATCAAAACTAATACTTCCTACTTAATCAGATTTTAGTATTGATATATTTATTATACGATGCCAAGATGGGTATCCAGCAAGTGACTACTCCACACAGAAACTAAAAATTAAGTACTATCAATAAAAATGTAAAGTAAAATCTCCTGCAATTTTTATATTCCCTGCTGGAAGTAGCTTGTTCTGTTATTTTAGCTGTAGTCTGGTCTTCATGTGCCACTGTGTGGAGTCTACCTGAAAGCACCACCCCAGTGGGACCTTGCGCGTGCCTGCCCAGCTCTAACCACCAAGACTAACCCAGTGCGAGCCAGAAAACAGCAAGAAGCAACAGATTAACTTTGTTACGAAACTGCAGCTAACTTCACATTTTCGTACCACATTTAGGCAGGAGACCAGAGGGCATCAGAAATCCCAGCAATGGCCGCTGCCAGTAGATATCATAGAATCCCAGCATGGTCGGGGTTGGCAGGGACCTCTGTGGGTCACCCAGCCCAACCCCCTGCCCAAGCAGGGTCACCCAGAGCAGGCTGCACAGCACCGTGTCCAGGGGGGTCTGGAATATCTCCAGAGAAGGAGACTCCACAGCCTCCCTGGGCAGCCTGGGCCAGGGCTCCGTCACCCTCAGCGGGAAGAAGTTCTTCCTCATGTTCAGCTGGAACTTCCTCTGCTTCAGTTTGTGCCCGTTGCCCCTTGTCCTGTCGCTGGGCACCACTGCAAAGAGTCTGGTCCCATCCTCCTGACACCCACCCGTCAGATATTTATAAGCATTTCTAAGGTCCCCTCTCAGCCTTCTCTTCTTCAAGCAGAGCAAGCCCAGCTCCCTCAGCCTCTCCTCGTAGGAGAGATGCTCCAGTCCCCTCCTCATCCTCGCAGCCCTCCGCTGGACTCTCTCCAGTAGCTCCTCATCTTTCTTGAAGTGGGGCGCCCAGAACTGGACACAGCACTGCAGATGAGGCCTCACTAGGGCAGAGCAGAGGGGGAGGAGAACCTCCCTCGACCTGCTGCCCACACTCCTCCTAATACATCCCAGGATCCCATTGGCCTTCTTGGCTATATATGGACAAAGGCTGGGAGATTCACCTGGGGCTACGTGGTTAGAGAGGCCGTTGGCACCTTATTCTGACAATCTCATCCAGAGTTACAAGAACGGTAAGAAATAGCTCCTCAGGGGACATCCAACCCAACGCAGAGGGCTAAGCCTGAGGTGCAATGCTCCATCAGGCAGAGCCAGGACGGGTCTTCTTCCCCTGGGTTCAGGGTGCCGGACCAAGCTGCCCTGGAGGGGACGGAGCCCTGACCGCCGCGTGAGGTGCACGTCGGTGTGGCAGAAATAAAATACTGGCACGGAAATTGCTGTCTTCTTGATCCACCCACTGTGCTTAGATTTTATGTCCCTGGGTGGTGCGGTTCTGCTGTCACGGCCATCCTACTCGGTTCCCTCAACACCCCCTGAAACAGGACGCTGTTCATCGCCCATGTTATGCTAAACCCCCAGGAAAGTAAAGTAGCAGGCTGCCATGCAGATACTACTCATTTAAAAAAAGTCCATAAATTAAACAAAAAATAAATCAAGAACAAGAAAGAGGTATGCAGGAAGGGACACAACCTGCCAGGAATGTTCCCTGTGCTTTGTTACCGATGTAGTGCCTTGCTGCTGATGACGCAGTAACAGAAAGTGCATTTTAGGAGGAGAAGATATGAGACTTTTTTTGGGACAAACCAGCTACACTGTGCTAAATTTCCAGGAGGGGGTACAGAAAAGGGCAGAGACAGAGGTATAGACGGATTTGACAGTGCAATGGGCACAAACTGAGGCACAGGAAGTTCCGTCTGAACATGAGGAAGAACTTCTTCCCTCTGAGGGTGACAGAGCCCTGGCCCAGGCTGCCCAGGGAGGTTGTGGAGTCTCCTTCTCTGGAGATATTCAAGACCCACCTGGACAAGGTCCTG